TGACTTCCCAGTCTATCCTATGATTTAGCTCCAGTTTTGAGAAGAAATTATTAAAGTGTTTCATCCTGCCAATTTTATTTAATTAGGGCTTATATTTGCGTGACATGATCACACAAATCGCCTAGAAGATATGAGGGTTTACGTCGTATCGAACGACAACCTCGGAACCTAGAACGAGTTAGAGCTTAAATCGTACAACAAAGCTGTACGAATGCCTAAGGAAAAAGTGGAGAATTTATATTGCGCTAGGCAAACAACCTCGAAATCCTATAGATTGTTGTTTAATTTCTAGGAAAAGAAATGGTTTTGCTGGGGAAGACGTATTCTGCTGTTGAAGATGGTCGTGCTGCCCACCGCGCTAGCTCTGAGCTCCCCGACATGACGAGTTCAAGTTTTCTAGGGTGTCCAGTTATAGTGTTAAATCAAACGGCCCTATGGTTGTAGTCCTCTAAACATCCTATGCAAAAAGGAAACATGCTTGAAGTTATATAATATAAAGTGTGCAACGCAGGAACAAACAATAAAATGCACGTGAAACAGTAGTAGGCAAAATAAAAGTAGTATAACTTGCTATACATGAAGAACAGTAGCAGGTAGAAACAGGACAATGTAACATGCTTTAAAGTACGGTAGCAGACAGAAACATGAAAATTATAACATGCTATACAGGAAGAACAACAGCAGGTAGAAACAGGATAATTAAGTGCTGTAAAATGTAAAGCAAATTTGTACGCCCGTTAGATCCGATGTTCCTTAAGCATAACAAGCCTAAATGCGTCTCAAAAAGCAAGTCCGAAAGAAAACGTCATCCAGGAAATCCGAGGAAAATCGGAAAACTCGAGAAAATCAGCGAAAAAGACTCAAGTAAAAGAAAATCCTCAAAACTACTAGGGAAATTCCGAAAGAAAGGAAAAGTAACACGAGTGCCCTGTCCCAAAACTTCGATAAAACAAAAAGAAGATTCAGATGAGGGGGACCACAAGCACTCGTATGGGACTAGACTCAGCTATATTTATTCTCGAGGGTCCACGAAGGCTACTCGGTCACCCGAATGTAT